GATGGGTACAAGTGCTGAGTCTGCCATGAATGCTTTACATCTCGGAATAAAGAATTAAAAAGAGGCGAAATTCAGAATCTGCAGGAGAACACAGCAGACAGTCCAAGGGGCAAGATAAACATGTTGTTTCACTGAATTGCAAAGGATTTTATTTCACTGAATTACAAAGGATGTTGTTTCACCAAATTACATTTGTAGCCTCAATGTCAGGGGTCAGATCAATGCACTAATGATGAGAGATGGAGACTGGTATTTTCTTCATTTTTCATTTTTCTTCTGTGTTTCGAAAGGGAGTAAATCTAATTCTCCGAGGAAGAAGGAAGGATTTTATTACACTGGTGGAGTGGTTGGGAATTGTGGCAGAGTGTTTTGTTCAGTAAAGCTTTTATGGGTGTCCTATTATTGCCCTGTTGTGCCTTCTTCCAAATGAGAATCTCTCCCGTCATATCACCACAAAGTGATCGGCCTGTATCTGTGAGCTTTGATGGTTAAGTGTTGGTCAGTGTGCCCATTGTGTGGGGTGGTTTAGGTCAGTGTCGTTAAGCCATGCCCTGGTCTCTCCCACCGACTCACCAGTGGCAGGAACCATGACTTTCATTTCACCACAAGTTCTGCACCGAGCCTCATACCAGCCCTACTGCCTTCCCAGTCTCACTCAGCATGAACTGACAGTGGATGGTCGGCCCTTTTTGGTCGATGATAGAAATAACTTGCATTTGCATAGCTCCCTGCATGCTCTTAGGACTTCCCAAAGCATTGTACAACTAATTATGCATGTCATTTCATCTGTGGTCACGTTAAAATGAAGGAAACACAGCACAAATCGTGCGCACAGCAAGATCTCATAAACAGCAACATGCTAATCAGCAGATTATCTCTTTTCCCAGTGATGCTGCAGAAGAATGACCAATATTCAGGATTTCAGGGATAACTCCCCTGCGCTTCTTCGAATGGGGTCTTGGGATCTTTTATATCCTCTTGAGGTAGTTTACCAGTTCAATGCCTCCACTGCACAGCACCCCCATAGCACTGGCGAAGGCTTTGTGTTCAAGCACATTGAGTGGGGCTTTGAATTGTAGGCAAGTGTCCGTAGTTTCAGTTTGGAACAGCATTCACAGGGAGCAGTGAGGGAGCAGCTATGTCATGATATGTAAGTATGGCTTGGTGCTGCCCGAGCTCTTCATAGAGTCACACAGCACAGAAACAGAACCTTCAGTCCAACTCATTCGCGCTGACCAGACATCCCAATCCGATCTAGTTCCATTTACCAGCATTTGGCCCATATCCCCCTAAACCCTTCCTATTCATCTACCCATTCACTTGCCTTTTAAATGTTGTTATCAGACCAGCCTCCACCATTTCCTCTGGCGGCTCGTTCCGTACACACACCACCCTCCACATGAAAAAATTACTCCTTAGGTCCTTTTTAAATCTTTCCCCTCTCACCTTAAAGCTATGCCCTCTAGTTTTGGACTCCCCCATCCTAGGAAAAAGACCTTGGCTATTCACCCTATTCTTGCCCCTTGTGATATTATAAACTTCTATAAGGTCACCCCTCAGTCTCCGATGCCTCAAGGAAAAAATCCCCAGCCTTTTCAACCTCTCCCTATGACTCAAAGCCTCCAGGCCCGGCAACACCCTCATAAATCTATTCTGCACCCTCTCAAGTTTCACAACATCCTTCCCATAGAAGGACGATCAGAACTGTACGCAGTATTCCAAAACTGGTCTCACCAATGTCCTGTACAGCTGCAACATGATGTCCCAAATCTTATACTCAACATTCTGACCAATGAAGGCAAGCGTACCAAATGCCTGCTTCATTACCCTGTCTACGTGTGACTCCACTTTCAAGGAACTTTGCACCTACAGCCCTAGGTCTCTTCATTCAGCAACACTCCCCAGGACTTTACCATTAAGTGTATAAGTCCTGCCCTGGTTTGCCTTTCCAAAATACAGCACCTCACATTTATCTAAATTAAATTCCATCTGCCACTCCTTGGCCCATTGGCTCATCTGATCAAGATCCACTGTCCCCAGGTTCTATTTCTTCAACCAGGACAATGGCCCATTCCTGATGGAAAGTATTGTGGGCAGGAATTTCTACTTTGGAAAGGGGATGGGGAGCACAGCATTATTTAAGGACAAGTGCTTCCTCTTGGACCTCCATGCGTGCGTTCGCTATTTCCTGTCTGCAGGCTCTGAGCTCAATATGGAGCTGAGATGGGCTTCTGGTAGACAGGAAAGAGGGACAAGACTCATTGACCACAAGCCAGCAATGTACTCAGTGGGAATCAAATTGTCTGCTTTCATGATGTTGGTTGAGGGATAAATATTGCTCTGGACGCCTTGCGGAACCCTTGGCTCCACGTCCCACTGAGCTTAGAGATGAAGCATTTCCTACAAACATGGAAATCCTCACTCAAGGAAGTGATCATTGGAAATAGTCAATACCTTGACAAATAGCTAAGAGCTGTGATAAGATTAACAAGGATGCGTAAATGATGATAGGAAATATTCACAAATACAAATTGCTCTTCATGCAGCAGTCCTGCCATCCCAGGAATCAGTCTGGTAAACCTTCATTGCACTCCCTCCATAACCAGAACATCCTCCCTCAGATAAGGAGACCAAATCTACACACAATATTCCAAGTGTGGTCTCACTAAGGCCATGTACAATATCAGTGAGACTTCCTCGCTCTACTCAAATTCTCTTGCTGCAAAGGCCTAATGTCACCTTCAACCCCTATTGTATTTGCATGCTTTCTTTCAGCAATTGACTTCTCTGCAAAGCAACAGATCCCATGGTTGTTCTACAAAAGAGCAAAGCAGTTCTTTCTGATGTTCCAGCCAGTGTTTACCCCTCAGCCAATGTCACTAAGCAAATTGTCCAACCATTATCTTTGACTTTCCAATGTTAGGACCGTACTCAAGGCCAAATGGCCAAAAGTACTGTGATGGACTTCAGGATATCCCAAGGATGTGATAGGGGCTATAACAATGCAAGTTTCCTCTTCATTTTACAACTGGAGGCACGAAACAATGTTGGCGTAGAAGATGGGGAATGTTAATCAGCGTCTGACCTATCTTGTAGCTGACTCTGGGGTGACACCCCATGACTCTGATGCAAAATTCTCCAAAAAGAATGAAATGTCTCTTTGGCAGAGCAAATTGGCAAAATACAAAAGCAAAATAATGTGGGCACGTCATAATCTGAAATAAAAAAACAGAAAATATTTGAACTGCTCAGCAGGTTTAGTTCCTCGCTGGGGTGAGAAATAAGTTTAATCAGACCGGTGATGAACAGTCACTGATCAGAAACATTGTCGCTTGCTCTTTCCCCTTTTTGTGGATGCCACCTGATCTGCTGAATATTTCCAGCACTTTCTGTGCACAATCCAGTTGCACAAACAGCCTGGCTAAATGAGTTTGGAGCTGAAGGAACACAGCAGGCCAGGCAGCATCGGAGGAGCAGGAAAGCTGACGTTTCGGGTCGGGACCTGTGTTGTCTCTGACTCCAGCATCGGCAGTTCTTACTATCTTTGGCCGAATGAGTTTGACTTGTTTGCTGGAAACATGGCGTAAGGTCGAGATGAAACTCGACAGGAAGTAAGCAAGATCGGGTGTGGGGAATTTGGAGTGTAGGGTATGGGGGAAGTAGGCTGCTTTTTGCACTGCCATGTCGTGGTTCTAAGTGTGTGGGTCTTCTCGGGGCTTGTACAGTCCAGTGTGTGTATGGGCAGCTAGCTTCTGGTCTAACAAACAAGCCTCATACAGTGAATAAGATGTAGTCTATTGCATCTCAGCAACTACTTCCAGGTTATAAGAACAAATTCAATAGGTATTTTCTAATCACCCTGTTCGGAGATATTATTACACATGTCTGGAGCAGTTGGTATTTGAACACAGGACTCCTAGCCTAGAGGTAGGAGCACCACCAAGACTTCCGATAGAACAAGCTCAAAATGCTACCAAGACTATAAGGAGGACCTCGCCTTAAGTCTGTCTCCAACGGGAGCCTACTTTACTGTCCCAACAACTCCTCGTATTGTCTTCACAGTGAGCGGTGCTTACTGTATTCAAGCATCTATTAACCTTTTCAACCCATGACAACATTGGTCTCTTTGGAATCAAGTTGAACAGTCAGCAGCTAGGCCAAGGTCAATGACCCTGCACTGGAAATGGGAGAACAGTGGCTTTGGAGTTTAAAACTACTTCACTCAGGATAGAAAATATAATCCTTGCTGGCCTAGTGCAAACTTTATTTTATTCATTGTGAAATGTAGGTGTCAGTGGCTATTCCATTATTTATTGTCCATCCCTAATTGCCCAGAGGGCAGTTAAGAGTCAACTACATTGCTGTGGGTCTGGAGTCACATGTAGGCCATGCCAGGTAAGGATGGCAGTTTCCCTCCCTAAAGGACATTAGTGAACCAGATGGGTTTTTACGACAGCTGGCAGAGTTACATGGTTATTGGTTCAGATTTGTATTAAGTTAAGATTTGTGCTATGGTAGGATTGGAATCCAAGTCCCTGGAACAATAGCCAAATCTAATGACATTACCACAGTGCCATCACCTCCTCTCCCGCCCCTCCCTTTTACTTGCAACAAATTTATTTCTGCTTGTTCCTCCTGGAGTAATAGGGAATTCACTTACAGAACCCTAAGAATTTTAATTTTTACTTTGGAAAGGAATTCAGCTAAACCCTTTCCCAGTGCATTTTTGTCAGTTGAAGCATAAATCATGGGCATCAAAAGATGCTGCGTCTTTAAATTTTTACAGTCACCGTTCATAATTTCCTCCGAGCTGTCACATTATAGGCAGTCACCGAGGTAAAGTGCACAGAATAAAGTTAATGTTTGCTTTGAGTTAGAGCACAGCCAGTCTCTGGTTTCCCCTCCTCTCCATGTGGTTGACATCACATGCAGTCAGGCAATAAGTGCTTCATACATTGCTTGCTAACTCCAACCAGTGGACTGCTGCTGTTTCAAAAACACTGAGCTCCTGCTGCATGTAAGGGACCAGGACAAGGGGAGGAAATAGCCCGATCCATAAACATCCTGGCAGCCTCCAAACCTAATGCCAGAAGCCCTCCTACAACAGCCCTCCTACTCCCACAGTCAGAAAGCAAGAAGTCACATCAAGCACACATCGGTGACAGCTATTCAGCTATTGGACTTTGAACTGTGTTATACAGATGGATCTATACAGATGTGGCTTTGTTGTGTGGTTCGTTACTCAGCTGTCAGGTGAGTTGGGGGTAAGGCTTTGTTGGGACTGATGGCGTAAAGCAGGGGACAGTGTCTCTAACAGTCCATGGCTTTATAAAACTAATAGGATTATTATTTCAATTTAGTGGGTAAAAAGAAAGGGAGAGATGCAAGGTTCTGATTAACTTAGTTTCCTACAGGAAAATTGCAACAAAGTCAGCAGAGTTATACATAAAAGCAGAAAAATAGAAGAAGTATAAATCAACGGACACAAAATTTTTTCTGAAGTTGGCTAATGTGAATGAACCCTTTCCTTCTGTTTGTCTCTCTGTCTTGTGCTGTTGTCAGTAGTTTGTGCATTAAGCAATTCTGAAGTGGAGTGAGCAAGTGTTTTAACTTCAGTGAGTTGCCTCACGATGCAAGCAGTATGCAGTTCAGGGAGAATCAGCAAACGTGGTGTGTCTCCTGTTAGTATAAAGGCATTCGCATATGTGGTTACTGGAAAACCTTTCCAGGAGGTTGGATTATGTTATTATACTGTTGGGTTTGATGGGACTATTTTTAAAGGAACGGTCGCTGGCTTTTGTTCTTGGCTTTTAAAAGCTGTTCACTCAAAAGACTGATATGTAAAGCTCCAGTACTGTTCTCACTTTACTTTTATATTCAAGCTACAACACCAGCAATGAGAGGGAATCTGTAAATAACAGACTTAGCCATACTCAATTTGGGGCAGAAAGTTAGAGACTATGCGCCGAGTCTGAGCGATTACAAATGACCTCTGCACCACAACAGGAAAAGGGAGACTGTGCCTTTTCAAAATATTTAGTTTGAAAAAACTGGATTTAATGGTACAGCTCAGGAAGATGCTAGGTTCGATCTCTGATCTGTGCGGACTTGATCCCAGCTGCTATGGTAAACCAGTTTCCCTGGTTGATGCTGAACACAGTTTGGATTCCAATGCAAGTGAGGCGTGACAGTAAAGGGCAAACCTGACTCATGGGTGATGCCCCCCATGTTTGAATTGCTTATCGTCAAGATACGTAGGTGAAAAACTTAGGTGAGGTACCAGAGGACATGCCTGTTTGTGTCCACCCTGGCACAACGTGAGTGAAACACATGGGAGAAAACTGACAAAGTTTAACAGAACGATTACGGCACCAGAGGCAAAGGAGAGAGATGAAAGAAAGTGTTGCATTTGATCTATTTGAAGATGAAGGCAGGCGGATAATTTGTGTTGCTATATATGCTGATTAATTTGGGATTTGCACTTCCAAACGTGGTGAGAGAAAGATCACACCTCTCAGGGTGTTCCAAAGCTCTTTACAGCCCAGTAAGTGATTTTTTTTGACATGTAGTCACTGTTGTATTGAAGGAAAGTCAGGAGCCAATTTGCACTCAGCAAGATCCCACCAAGTGTGGTGCCCAGATAATCTGCCTTTGCTGGTGAGGCTGGACGTGAGGACAACTCTTCTGTGGTTCCTCAAATTCCTGTCTCGACACCTGTTACTATCAGCTGGCATGGCACCTTGGTATATTGTTTCATCTGACAGGCAGCACTTGTGACAGTGTAGCACTCCTTCAGCACCATGCCAGACTCAGCCTGCATTCACTGCTTCAGCAGCTGGAGCAGAACCTGAGAAAACCAGAGGGGAGATTCACACTCACTTGAGCCCCATGTGCCAGGCTAGCCTGGTCTGCAATCTCCGTGGTGAGACCATTATCTCCAGGACATGCCAATACCTCCAAAACTGGTCTCTCTCCACTTGACCAAACAGCTGTAGCAGCAGAATGCAGTGCAACTTCCTGACTAAAACAGCTGAGACCCGTGGGGCAGCACGGTGGCTCAGTCGTTAACACTGCTGTCTCACAGCACCAAGGACCCAAGTTCAAGTCCAAACTTGGCTGACTGTCTGTGTGGAGTTTGCACATTTTCCCTGTTCCTCCAGGTGCTCCGGTTTCCTCCCACAGTCCAAAGATGTGCAGGTTAGGTGGATCGGCCATGCTAAATTGCCCTTTCTGTCCAGGGATGCATCGGCTAGGTGGGTTAGCCATGGGAAATGCAGAGTTAAAGGATAGGGTGGGTCTGAGTGGGATGCTGTTCGGAGGGTCAGTATGGGCTGAATGGCCTGCTTCCACACTGTAGGGATTCTATGATTTGGTGATTCTGGGGGAGCAGGTATAAAGGAACCTATTGGATTATACACCCGTTGTCTTTAAACCTAACTCTCAGGGTTAAGACATTCTGGAAATTACTGCCAGCTCTCTCCTGAATTATAACATTCTGTAAATGGGCTTCTATTTCTGTATCGGCTTCCATCCTTGCAGGGGACTGCCTCATCTCTAAGCTGAGCGAGCCCTGGAACCTCTCCTGCTGCCTTGGCCAATATTCCTCCCCCAACCAACAGCATGAATCAGGTGATCTGATTATCTGGCTCTCTGTTTCCCAGCGGTTAACCTGCCAGCACAATTCACTCAGAGACCAACACTCACTGCAGACTCTAATCCAAAAATCCCTTCCACAAACCACGGCCCAGAGACAACTGAAAGTTAAAGGCAATGTCGGCTCCAGAAATCGGTTGCCCACAATATTGAAGGCAACTGCACTAATTTCTGACTCCTAACGCGCATTCCCACACCGACAGTGTAGCAGTGTTCTTAGTTGAAGGAAATATGCTTGTGGTGAGACTGTCATTCCTGAAATCAGATTCCTCCGTCACTTGGAAAATGTGTTTGAGAATCAGCAAAAAAAACCAAAGAACTGCCGATGCTGAAAATTAGAAATTGCTGGATAATCTCAGCAGATCTGGCAGTGTGTATGGAGAGAAAGCAGAGTTAATGTTTTGTGTCCAGTGACCCTTCCCTGGAACTAAAAGGTCTGGAGAAGGGTGACTGTACCCTCAAAATGTTGTGTGTCGGTAGCTGGTCAGTTTTGACTTCATATTGTTACAGTGTAATGTGAATGTGGAGCTGGCTCGTTCCAAGTTTGGGAAGGAGCTTCTGGAGGAATTTACAGCACTAAAGGTTCCATTTGGCCTATCATATCAATGCTGGTTCTTTTCACAGAACAATTCAAATTGAATCCCACTGCTCCAGGCTCGTTGCTGCATCTTCCTTATTTTCAAATGCTTATCTGACTTTCCCATAAATGAGAAAATCATCTATGTTTCAACAGCAAAGTGGTCCCTGATTTGATAAACTCTGGGTGAACATGACTGTTTAAAGATGTCTCCTCTCATTCTCCTGCCACGGCTATGTATCCAGCACAGTGAAATTTCAGTTGCTACAGATTAGATTTTATTTTCTTTATCTTTATTCATTCATGGGATGTGGGCATCACTGGCCAGGCAGCATTTATTGCACATCCCTAATTTCCCAGAGGGCAGTTAAGAGTCAACCATATTGCTGTGGGTCTGGAGTTACATGTAGGCCAGACCTGGTAAGTTTCCTTCGCTAAAGGGCATTAGTGAACCAGATGGGTTTTCCCCCAACAATCAATAATGGATTCATGGTCATCATTCGACTCTTAATTCCAGATATTTATTGAATTCAAATTCCATGGCAGGATTCGAACATTACCTGGGTCTCTGGATTAACAGTACAGTGATAATACCACTAGGCCATGGCCTCCCTTGATAGAAGTGACTGCCAGAGAAATGTAGATGCCTCACCAATTCCTCCTCTTGGCCCATGTCTGAAGCTCCATTTGTCCAGATACAAGGGGCTATGGGCAGTTGGGAAAGGCCCAGGGCTGCCAATAGCAGATCAGCTGGCCACTAACCAGCAACTGCTGAAAGATGGTGAATTCATTCAGGCAGCTCTCCATGTTTTTGAATGACTGATGAGATACATTACATCTGAAAGCATTTACAGATTGCTTTTAAAGCCCTCTGGTCAATTCCTACACAAAGGCACGGGAATTTATTGCTGTTTCCTTTGTGTCAAATTGCGAAGAGCCAAGATCCGTTGCTTACTTAGCTATTTGCCACTGAGGACAAAAAGCTTTAATTGAGAATGATTGCGATATATATATTCCAGAAGTACCTGCATCCCCATCCACTGTTGGCCTGCTTTGCATCTCTGTTTTGAACTCTTATGAAGACAGACTGCATCAGTTGGGACTATATTAACTGGTGTTTATAAGAATTAGGTGGGATCTCGTGGAAACTTATAACATTCTCACAGGAATAGACCAGGTAAATGCAGGAAATATGTTCCTGATGACCAGGGAGTCCAGAAGTAAGGGTCACTGAATAAGGGTACAGGATAAAGGGTGTTTGTGATGCAGTAGTGTCCCTACTTCTGAGCCAGGAGACCTGGTTTCAAGTCCCTCCTGCTCCAGGAATGGGTCATATCATCCCTGAACACATAAATTCAAAACTATCTAAGGATACAGGATAGGCCATTTAAGACTGAGATGAAGAGAAATGTCTCCCCCACCCCGCCACCGAGAGTGGTGAGTCTGTGGAATTCACTGCTATAGAAACTACTTGAGGCCAAAACATTGAATGTTTTCAAGAAGGAAGTGAATGTAGTTCTTAAGGCTAGAGGGATCAAAGGACATAGGGAGAAGGGGACAGGGGACTGCGTTGGATGATCAGTCATGATCACATTGAATGTCAAAGCAGGCTCAAAGTGCTGAATGGCCCAGTCCTGCTCCTATTTTCTATATTTGACAGTATTGTGGTTCTTGTGCAATGACTAGATCAGATTTTGGCTCAGGTTGGCAAGTCCTAGCACCAACAGACCTCACCATTTACAGTTGATATTGTTTATTGGTCTTACCATGATGTGGATAATGTAAGCTGCGGGCAATAAAGCAGTTACAGGCTGCAGTAGGACCCATGCCCTGTAAAGTGTTGTTATTTAAGTGTAATTCAAATGCTTTAAAATAAAACCACCCTATATGTATCTTGTCAAGTGTCAATGAGTGAAAAATGTTCATATGTCATACTGACAGCAGTTCAGGATCCCAGGATCCTTTGCTCCTTTGATCTTCTTTATTGCTATGTTTGATCACTACCTTGGGATCAAATTTGACC